GAGTGGACAGTGAGAGAGAGAGACAGAGAGAAAGGTCTTCCTTTTGCCGTTGGTTCACCCTCCAATGGCCGCCGCGGCCGGCGCGCTGCGGCCAGCACCGCGCTGATCTGAAGGCAGGAGCCAGGTGCTTCCTCCTGGTCTCCCATGGGGTGCAGGGCCCAAGCACTTGGGCCATCCTCCACTGCACTCCCTGGCCACAGCAGAGAGCTGGCCTGGAAGAGGGGCAACCGGGACAGAATCCTGCGCCCTGAACGGGACTAGAACCTGGTGTGCTGGCGCTGCAAGGCGGAGGATTAGCCTAGTGAGCCGTAGCTAAGAAATCTATTTCTGATGACAGAATTCATTTATTTGTGAATTCAATATCCCTTACATAGCCATTTGTACCTTTTATGGTAATGGTAAGGAATTTTAGTAAGCGAATGACCACAGTACTATAGAAAACTTCCCTTTATGGTATTCTGTATGCCACACACTCTAGTTCATCTAAAACCTGCTAAGGAGATATCATCATTTGCATTTTGTATCTGAGCTAGTCTATATTAAACAGCCCTCCCCCCAAGAACACAGTCACAAAAGAGCCCATGTTAATGCCACAGCCTTCCCCAAACTCTTCCCCTGGTGAGAAGCTGGGCACTGCAGGCCTCAAGCAGAATTGCAGAGGACTTGCCATGGTTCTCCCGATCCTCAGTTTGCTGTGGGATTCCACCCCAGAGCATGCTGCAGCCTAGGAGCATGGAGATGGCCAGTTCTTTGCATCCTGCTCCGTCCTCATTAAGCACTGGTGCTGCTGCTTTAGGAACCATGGCATTCCACTTCTCGAGTTTAGTGTGGAAGAAAAACAAAGCTAGCAGAGCCATCTCGGACTTGACCCACTCTGACCGAAGTATAACGAGAGCAGTTTTTCTAAACAGCCTATTTTATAGGCTCTCTCAGCATTGACTCGTGGTTGCTTTTGAGTACAATATGAGTTTGAGATGTCGGTGATCTCTGTAGCAGAGAAAAAGGTTGCTTGTTTGGCAGTCACTTGTCATCTTCTCTCCAGTGTGCATTCATCCATTTGTCACAATATTTTGTGGGGAGTTGTACAGGGAAGCTTAAGAAAAATGCTTTACTCTTGTCTTGATGATAGAAAGCATTTCTCACGGCTGGTAGCATGGTGGTAACTTTTCATTCCTTCTGGCAGTTTTTAAAGACTTATTTGACTTTGTGGGAACCTGCAGTATATCTTTAAGTCACAGTTCAAAAGTATGAGACAGGGTTGCTCATTTTCAATTTTGGCTGAAAAGTCTTAACTTTGACTGTGGTACTTCAAAGTTAGGGAAACTTGGTCTTAAAAATGGATGCTGATAGGAGATGGCATATTTAATGACAGATGTATCTATAGAAAGCTGTTAAGATGCAGATTATCCCCCCTGGGGTGGGGGAGGGAGATCAAAACTGCCAATCTATAAAATATACTCGATAGAGGAAGGCATGGAATCTATCTTTGCAAGTGCTTTGATTGCAGGGGACAGTATAGCAGCATGTGGCATCATAACCCAGAGCAGACAAATCAGCTTGATGACTTTCAAAGCCAAGAATACTGCTGCAGGCAAGGGTACTCCAGTCTAGGAGAAATTAAAACATATAGAGACTGTTATTAATTCCATATCTATTTTTGTATAGTCAAATCTGTATGCAAATCCTTAGCATCTCATTTCAGCAGATTAATCTAAAAGTGAAGAGTGTTATGTGAAGGGAATGTAATGATAAAGCTTTGCAAATGAGTAACATTGCTAAAGGAATGTGGGCTGCAAACTTGGATGCTTTTTTAAAATTTATTTTTTGTACTGAGAAGAAATGGCTTTTATTTATATGCTCATTTGGAAATTATTTCAAAGAGGGAGAGCAATAGGACCAATTTCCAAGATTTTCCTCTGTAATCCTGATTTGGCAAAAGTTACAGCCCTGGGTTTGTTAGCCACCTCCTGTGGTTTAACATTCTAGAGGTAATCAACCAAATAACTAACTGGGAGTTTTAATTTTGCTCCCAACTCATACCCAATATCTCATTTCTAAACATTGTCATGTGAGTGAAAATTTGTATGAAAGGGTAAGGAATCTAATTACTGAGTGCAGATTAAGAAAAAAAATTGTATTACAGATGCATCTGTGGAAGCTAGTAAATAATAATTCTGAACAATAATAATTCTGAAGAACATGGAGATGAATTGTGTGCCCCTGTTTGGGAGAAGGGATATAATAGCTGCACTCTAATGCATTGGTTGTACATTAAATCTATAATGGGCAGAGTCTGATACAAACAGTAACGTAAATATTTTCAGATAGTGTCATAAAGCAGATAGTTTACTGCAGTATCTATTAATTCTGCCCCATATTTCTAAAACAAGGAGAGAAACTTTCCAAGTTTTAAGATAATATGTGGAGCTTTACCCTCTGCTCCCTCTCAATTGGAGAAATGATTATAGGCGAGCTGGATATCAATCTGGTGGTTATGGCCCAGATCAGAAGCACTGGCAATCATTTTAACTCTGAAGACCTGTGAGGTCTCAGTCGATTTGATTATTCTTGTGTGGTTATGCTGATAAAGAATTATCGAACACTCCATTTTAATCAGATAAGAAAGGGAAGGTTGGGAGCAAGCACACCTCTATATTTATTTTGACACACATCTTGACTCTATGTAGGCATTGCAGCCTCAGCTTTCTTAAGTGTATTTTCTCTGCCTTTGATTTCATTTTAGAAATGAGATATTCAAGGAGAAAGCCAAAGAAGACTTTGTTTGAGGTCAGGAAGCTCATTTCTCTCTGTTCTTTGTGGATTTCCTCTGCAGACAAAGCTTTCGTTGATCTTAAAAGTAGTGGCAAGCTTCAGAGAGAATAAAAAAATAGCCTTCCAGTTAATAATAGCCATGGTCAATTACATGAAAGATATAATCTCCTTACTTGGATTGAGAGAGAGCGTAATGATTGGCCAGGACAGTTCCCTCCTCTTTATGTATCTATTGGTATTGATTGATTATTCCAGTTCAGTTGAGGATTAGGTCCTAATCCTCTGAATTCTGGTTACCTTGACTCCTGGCTATGCAGTTGATAGTGGTGACCTATTCAGAGTTTTAACTGTCAAAGCAAAAATTGCACTGGATAAGGTTAAACAGATGAAGAAAAGTTTATTCAAGGCTATTGCAACAGGGAGAGAGAAATTAGAATGCAGTTTGAAATCAAGTCCATCAAAATGAGGTTTTTAAGAGAATGGTTTTTAAGAACTGGGGTAAGCTAATGGAAAAGTACTAAAGGACTTTTAAGGGGAGGTTGATCTAGGAATGTGTTGAGTATGTTCGGTTATTCTTAAGCTGGCAGATTTTGTTTTTTCTCTGTTATTAGGCCATCTGTGTTTGCTAATTGGTGATTCTCAAAATTAGGCTCCTACCTGCTCATAGAAAGGGGAATGGGGTAGAATGGAGATGGAACACTCCCTTCTTTGATGATTATGAAGGGAGGAATCCCAAGTGCTTAAAGAAGTTATTCCTGGCTTATAAAACTGGGGAGCAGCTCTTAAGATGATTTACATCTCAAAAAGCAAGAGAAAGAATCTACAATTATAAATTTTCTAAAGTACATGCTCTAAGAAAAGGGAGATCAGAGGCCTCGAATCAGGAAGCTGCCTCTCTAAAACTTAGTCAAGCTGGGAAAATGTTAAAGCCATCCTGGTCAGTTTTGTGACTATATGCTTCTTTATTTCAAAAAAAGTGCAATAGGAAACTTTTTTAGTCTGGCTTAAGCTTCACTGTTTACTATAAAGTTAGCTACTACTTTGTGATACTTAATATAATATTATTCATTTTACACTAATGTCTAGAACTATGGATAAGGCAGTATTTCTGAAGATAGATTTTTTTGGTTCCCTTATTCCTGTTGTTTTATTATCAAACATTTAGTATATACTGGTGTTATTTTCTTACTCTGTTGTTTTAAAGAGTTTTTGTTTGTTTGATGATAAAAGAGTAGAATTAATAATCTTTAGGCTTTACAGGGCTTAGTGTATACTACAAGCATGAAAGAAAAGTATGAGAACAAATAGAAACTTACCTGGAAGTGTCATGATTTTTTTTAGTGGTTCTTTATTAAGCAGAAACTCTCAAGCCTCTCAGATCCATGCGTTTTCAAGGAGGCTTCAAAAACATTGACTGTAACAGCAGCTGCCATGGAAAACTCTAGCTGGTAGCCATTAACCACATTTGGATTATTAAGTACCTGAAACATGGCTAATCTGGAGTAAAATATGTGTGTCAAACACAAACTGAATTTTGAAGATTTAGTGTGAATAAATAATATAAAAATCTTGATTTTTATATTGACTTCATGTTGAGATAATATTTGGCTCTACCAAGGTAAATAAGATTTGTTAATAGATTTGATTTCACTGTTCCTGTTTACCTTTTAATGTGGTTACTGAAAAATTTTAAATGTATATGTGACTTACATTTGTGGTTCTTGTATATTCTATTGGATAGCACTGGCTCCAGATGCCTTTTGATAAATAATGCCTTTTGTTAGATGTGGCTTTTCCAAAAGAGATATCAATATATCACTGTATTTACGTCTGGAGGTTAGAGCTAAATTGGCAGTTACCTAGGGAAAGAAATTCCTTTGTGACTATCTCCCTGGCTTATATAGAGAGTTTCTCTGCTTGTGTTGTGTTCAGTCTTACTCCCTCCCTTTGTTTTGCCCCTCATTCTGACCATGCAGAGTAGCTCACCAGAAATGGGGCCCTCTGGGTAATAATTGAATACTTGTTGTGCAACTCGATTGCTTCTGAAATGTTTCTTGAAAATGAAACTGTTTCAACATTAAGCTTCTTAATTATGTCATGGGTTCACCACCAGGGTATACAAACAGATCTTCAGTAGTAGCTGATTTTTCTTTAATTGTATCATCCTTTTGTTGGAATATCCTATTTTTTATTCCTGAGAAGCTCTAACATATGTTAATCCATTACAGGTGGAGTAACTAACACGGCACAATATCAAAACAGACTAATGGTATATGAACCTAACCAGGTAAGAATCTTATAACAAAAGCTCATTACCTTAAAATGAATTTTGAAAGATTTCCACAGTGATTAGTATGTGGAATGCCAAGTCTACATAAATACACATGCATGCTAAGCCTATATAGAGGAAAGAAAGCTTCTGGATAAACTGCTGTGCAGTTCCTTTCTTTTTTTACATTTCAGCCCCTGAAACTTTATGCTCTACATGATGCTTCACTCTTTCAGTTTTGCATAATGTCCAAAGGATTTTGATTGTCCTGGTGTTATATCCTTTGTATCCGTTATATCTGTGCTCAGAAAGGAACGTGCTTGTTGTTTCATTATTCTCAGGTAAAATTAAAATTGTAATTTAACTCAGTGTAGCCAAAGTGTCCTAGAACATGTTGTCCCTGTCTAGGACAAGTCTGAGGTAGAAGTACCTGGAGAGTTTCTGTATGATTTTCATGTAACAGCTGGGGCCTGAATGGGAAGCGTTTTGGTGATGCCTCCTGTCCTTTTTTTCTGACTACTTCTCACGTACACCTTATGACTTTTCCTGTTTTCTCCCAAGGAACTGTTTTTAATTCTTTTTTCCTTCTACCAAAAAATCTATGACCTTGACGAATGCCTGCTGAATTTTATCATTTCTATGAGTTTGCTAATGTAAAGATTTTGCTTGATTATGAAAAATTCCAAAATGATTCGATTGGGGGGATTTACTATACATCAGCTGAAGATAACAGAATATGAAACAACAGGTTGACTCTGGCAGTCTGCGTCTGGATTGGTCACCAAATGTATATCCAGAGTGACCTCAGTGTATCCGGTATCTTTTTGTTTTAACAATTGCTTGATTCTGAATTTAACCAAACAGTTTCTGTCCACAAATGTGTTTCCTGATGTCATTAGAAACTGTACATTTCAAAGACCAAATGTCCATGGGTCAGCCGTCTCAAGAGGGATCATTAATTCCAGTTGCTTGTGTTTGGCGCACACGTGGTTAAAGAGGAAGAAGGTGTAAACATTTCTCAAATGAGTTCTGCTTCATGTTTGTACACACATGCTCTTTTTAAAAATTCTGCTGGCATATTGTTTACGGTGGGTACTGGCAAACATCACATCTGCTTGCGTCTTGCACAGAATCTCAATAACTCTATCATTCAGCTCTGGTGCTTATTTCTCTTCTAGGCCTTTGTGGAGAGTCGATAATGCCTGCCATCTGCCACAGAGCACATCGCTACCTGCCAACAGGCAGGCTGGGGTGACCTCTGCTTCCCCACCACTGATTAGTATTCACACGCTAGCTTATTAGGAATGACCCCACCAGGCCTCTCAGTTTCTTTGCCTTTGCAGTGGTTGGCGGCTCACCTGGCAGGCACTGCAGTGAAGGAAGCTAAAGATGTAATCAGGGGATGCAAGCAGGCTTTGCAAACCAGATGGCATCTCTAGTCTTGTGGCAGGGGACTGGACTGCTAATGCAAACATTGATTCCTAATTCTGTCATGGGTTGTCTCATAGAAAGCACCTAAGAAAAACATTTTCAGTTTTGGGTTAAATTCACTCACTCACATGTAATGTATTAAAGATATTTCTTAGCAAGATGTCTGAAAGAAAGGCTTGGCTATTTCATTATTAAATAAGATATTTGATTGGAAGGATATTCTTATGACATGTTCAAATAGGGGGAACAGGTCAACGCAGGGCTTTCGAACTGTAGAGATCACTCTCCCCTCCCCAACCCCAGGAGTACGTCTTTAAATGAGAAATTAGAAATGAGCCAGGATATATGCTCGTGGGGAATGGACACATGTTTCTACAAGCATGTTTTTGTTATTGCATTTCCTTGTTTCTTCCCTTACACCTTTGTGAACTGGTGAAATTCTATGAATTCAAAACATCATATGATTTTTTTGGTTGAAGTCCAAATTTTTCTTGGCAGAAAAGAAACCAGGTTCTTCCTATGTGTTTAGTGTTTATGTCAAAAGAAAATGGGTTTATTTACCTGTCCATTACTTAGTTGAGATTTAAAATTCAATATTTGCTGTTCATCTAATTTTGCAGTATACATGATATTTTGAATAGGAGCTTTTTTAAGAAGAGTTGGGCATACACTTCTCATTATTGGTGGTGACCTAGAATCAAATACTGAAAGTTTCACCATTCCCTAAAGTTCTCATATAGGCTTATTGCTGAACCACATCTTAACTTCTGCCAGTGATCTCAAGAGTTTAGTTCTGGAAAGAATAACAAAGCCAGCCTCACCCTAGCTTATATAGCAGGCTTTGATGCCCAGTGATTATTATCACAATAATTTTTAAAAAGTGAACGTGGATGTTAGATAGCTTTTCATCACTAGCATACATGAGAGAAGCTAACTTATAAAGAAAAGGAGATTTATTTAACTTCATTTTGGAAGTTCAACATTCAAGGTCAGGAAGCTCTATTAGTTTGACCTCTGGTGGGGCCTAAGAGCAAATGGGGTTAGATCAGGATTCCTGGTACTAATGAAACACCCACTGCTGTTGTCTGCCATGGAAGTCTCCTATTAATAGAAAGCATTTTAATTTCTTTTTTTCAGAATAAGTGGATAAGCCGCAGCCCCATGCTACAACGAAGGGTCTACCATTCGATGGCTGCTGTCCAAAGAAAGCTTTATGTTCTTGGAGGCAATGACCTAGACTACAATAATGATCGGATTCTTGTGCGCCATATAGATTCTTACAACATAGACACTGACCAATGGACGCGTTGTAATTTCAACCTGTTGACTGGCAAGTACCTTTGGTTAAGTAAGCCAATAAAAGTAGAAGTTCAAGAAGTTGCCAGACTTTCCTTAGGCTGCTTTAATGCATCTCTAAGTAAAGTATATAGTGGTGGAACAAAGTTGCTTTTGGTAGCCAGGAGGTGTGCTTCCTTTATGTCACAAAACTGGGCTCATTCAGCAGGCTGAACATCTAGTTTTTCTATTGCCTCTAATGGATCGAGTTTCTCTAAAGGCAGTGGCCTTTGTGCATGTTCTCTCGTGGCTAAGAGAGGCATGTCAAATCCATGATTGTTAAGTCAATATTTACATAGGAATTTTGAAACAAGTAGGAAGAAGAGCAGTTTATCTTTTACTTTCCCCTGCATTTAGTCCTCTTTTATTTCTTGTGAATTCGGAATGGTCTTCATTATTTGTCCCTGCCAAATGTCCTTTCTGAGTGTCTTCTAAAAACAAAACCTTCATGCAATTGTGGGCAGAACGGTTTGGCTGCCTTTCTGGACAAACAAACCCATCCAAGCATTATCATAGGGCATCCCTATGTTTGACCCATTCTCATTCCAAAAGGGAATGAAAGAAAGCAGTAAACAGCTTACCCATGATACTTCTTTATGGAATTGAAAACTTTTTTGCCCCTTGTCAGCTTGTATTATTACCATTCCTTTCAGGGTTGCTCAAATAACAGGAAAAATCACAAACTCCCAACAGTGATTGGATTAGTTCCTGAAGACATCTTAATATGCCAAGTGGGCTCTCAGTCCCTCACAGCTGCTGGGGGAGGCAACACAGGGTGCATAACTACAGATTTAGCTGCTTTGGAGTGAGTTCTTGTTTTTGGAAAATGATTTTTGAGGCCTAGCTACATTAACTTTAAGTTGTAGACCCTTGATCCCTTGATCTGTGATTCTACCTGCTGTAGGATTCAGCTTATTTATTACCCCAGTCAATCCTGTGTCAGCTCATCAATAAAATGAGACTACTTCACTGTCTGTTAGCCTCCAGGGAAGAATATGTGGTACTGAGTTATTCTGTCTTCTTTTTGAAATGGGAAGAGGAATCTTTCATCATTCTGGCGTGTCAGTATCTAGGGATTATCCAGGATGGTCCCAGTTCAGGAACTTTAAAACAATCTTAAAACTGGTGTGTATGTAAAGACAGGTAGAGTAGCAACTTTATCCATTTTTTTTCTGCCATGTGTCTTCATTTGGGGCATACTCATGGCATGGCTTCTTGATGTTGAAGCTGTTAATTTACAGATGTATGCATTTGCCTTAAAAGCACTTGTTAGTACCATAGGTATTTTTCATTTATAAAATATACCTTATTTACATTACTATAAATTAGTAGCATACAGCATAGTACACAACTCTTAGTGCCATGTAGCTTACTATTGCTATATTTACTGCTGTTTTTACTAACTTGGCTGGTTAATGAGTATTTCTGCCTGGTTCTGGTACAACACTGTGAGAAACAGTGGCTGATGCTTCTGAGTAGTGGGAGTCAGTGAATACCTGCCACAAAAAATCCCATGGAGTATACAAGCCAGCCACAGGGGGAAACTGTATTCCTCAGTGGCAAAAGGGTTAATTAAAGCATGTAAGAAATGGATTTATTATTTCTTTTTATTCCATTCTCTTTATGTTAGGTCAAAATGAATCTGGGGTTGCTGTCCATAATGGGAGAATATATTTAGTTGGTGGATATTCAATTTGGACAAATGAGCCTCTGGCTTGTATCCAGGTAAGTGGTTAAAATGGCTTTGAAGTTTGCTCCACTAGATCAGTGAGGTTAAATTTTGCAGTGCTAGGGGATTAAGATAGCAGAGTAGGGAGGGAGCCTGCTGCACTAGTCTAGGAGAAGATAGTTTCAAAAAAGTGGAAAGAGTGCAGTCTCAGGGAAGAGTTAGGGAGAAAACAGCAGAGGAAACTACACAAACAGGGACACAGTGGACCTGTGTGGAGGGCGAGGACATGCATGACCCAAGACCCCATCAGCAGAGAGCCTCTGCAACAGTGTTGAAGAGTGAGGTGAGACCAGACTGCAGTAGCCCAAGCCATTGGCAGAAAAGCTGCAGGAAGAGCCTAGAGGGAATCTAGCTTGGAGACTCGAGAGGGATAGTGTACCTGCCAAAATAGAGGAGAAAAAACAAAGGTGGTGGGGGCAGATTTTCTCTCTCCCTGATTACTCTGCAACTCATCCTGTAACAAGCTGACAGAGAGCAGGTGCCATTTTGGACAAATGTAACAGCTGCACCAGCTTGTGTCCACACCCAGCAACCAGTCAAGTGGAGACTCCTGAGTCTAGTGGGGAGAACAGACAGGGAGCTGGGTGCTCATGACTTTGGGAGGCTTGTGTGCCAGGACTATGAAAACACTGAGGCTGTGTGGGATGACTCAAAGTGTGGCTGGGCCTTTGGGAAGTCACTGTGGGAGGCTCCACATGTTCAGGGCTTCCTGGTTACCTGTTAAGGGACATTGCTGGGGAATCTGAGCTTACACTGAAGACTGCACAGATCCTTTGTGTGGTCCTTGTGGCATAGTGGACGAATAATATACCCACTGGGGCTAGCGCTTAGGCAGGCACTAGTCTTTGAAGAGAGGAGCTCAACTAAATCTATGCCAATAGACAAGAACAAACCTTCCCTCTGAAAAGAAAAAAAAGGATTTATCACACCAAACCTGGGTGTGTCACGTCAGACATGCCCTTCACCCTGGAGCACTGACCAGAGGTCCTTGGCTCCAGTTATTCCCTGAAAGCAGACACTCCACTAATCTACACAGACAATCCAACGATAAAAACTGCCACAGAAAAAAGCAAAGAAGACACCAACAAGTATCTCCACAAATGTCAAATAACAAACGCATCAATTCAAGAAACAAGAATAAGGAAGACAACATGATACCCCCAAAAGAACACAACACTTCAATACTAGATTGTAAAGATGATGAAATCAAAGAAATGCCAGAAATGGAATACAAAAAAAATGATTATAGGATTACTTAGAAGTAATCAGAAACAAATGCACAAACTAATGAAATCCATACATGTTATGAAAGGAAATTTCTCCCATGAAATTGAGTTCTTAAAGAGAAATCAAAATGAAAACTTGGAAATGAAGAATTCAGTAGAACAAATAAAAATGTGGTAGAAAGCCTTAACAGAATCGGTGAAGCAGAAGAAAGAATATCCAACTTAGAAGACAAAACACAGGAAATTATACAGTCAGACCAAACACAACAAGAAGAAATTAGAAAACTAAAAAAACACTATTGGGAATCTACAGGATACTATCAAACAACTCAACATATGGTTCCTGAAGGTGTGGAAAGAGAGAAAGGTTTAGAAGACCCTTTTAGTGAAATAATAACAGAAAATTTCCCAATTTGGAGATAGAAAGGGACATCCAACTACAGGGAGCACATAGAACTCCTAATAGACATGACCAGAAAAGATCCTCACCATTACACATTGTAATCCAACTCTTCCCAATAAAACATAAAGAAGAGATTCTCAAATGTGCACGAAAGAAATGCCAGATTACCTTCAGAGGATCTCATATGAGACTCTCAGGAGCTTTCTCATCAGAAGCCCAACAGGCTAGGAGAGAATAGAGATGTATTCCAAATCTTAAGAGAAAAGAACTGTTAATCCAGAATACTATATCCTGCAAAACTCTCATTTATGAATGAAGATAATAAAGACCTTCCATGACAAACAGAAACTGAAAGAATTTGTCACCACTCATCCAGCCCTGCAGTAAATGCTTAAGGAAACACAGAAACGTGATCATCACTACAAAAGTGGGTAAAGGAAGGAAATCACCCAGTAAAAGTACAAAGGAAATCCAAAGTGAAAAATAGGAATCTTTATGGAAAAATGGCAGGGCAAAATCGTTATTTGTCAAGTCACCTTGAATGTAAATGGCCTCAACTCTCCAGTTGAAAGACACAGACTGACTGAATAGATTGAAAACAAAACCCATGTATGTGCTGCCTACAAGAAATACATCTCACCAACAAAGATGTACACATACTGAAAGTGAAAGGATGGAAAAAGATATTCCATGCTAATAGAAACCAAAAAAGAATTGGGGTAGCCATCCTAATATCATACAGAATAGACTGTAATGGCTGGCGCCGCGGCTCACTAGGCTAATCCTCCGCCTAGCGGCGCCAGCACACAGGGTTCTAGTTCCGGTTGGGGCTCCGGATTCTGTCCTGGTTGCCCCTCTTCCAGGCCAGCTCTCTGCTGTGGCCAGGGAGTGCAGTGGAGGATGGCCCAGGTGCTTGGGCCCTGCACCCCATGGGAGACCAGGAAAAGCACCTGGCTCCTGGCTCCTGCCATCGGATCAGCGCGGTGCGCTGGCCGCAGCGCACCGGCCGTGGCGGCCATTGGAGGGTGAACCAATGGCAAAGGAAGACCTTTCTCTCTGTCTCTGTCTCTCACTGTCCACTCTGCCTGTCAAAAAAACAAACAAAACAAAACAAAACAAAAAAAATAGACTTTAACACAAAAACTGTTAAAGGAGACAAAGAAGGGCACTATGTAATGATTAAGGGATCAATTCAGCAGGAATATATAACTATTATAAATATATATGCACCTAGTTACAGGACACCTGGCTATTTAAAAGAAATGTTAAGAGATCTGAAGGGAGATGTAGAATCAAATACAATGGTAATTGGGGATTTCAGTACCCTACTTTCAGCAACGGACAGATTAACCAGACAGGAAATCAGCAAGGAAACAGCAAATTGTAGACCAAATGAACCTAATATATCTACAGAACTTTCCATCTTACAGTTACAGAATACACATTCTTATCAGCAACTGCATGGAACTTTCTGTAGGATTTACCACATGCTAGGCCATAAAGCAAGTGTCAGCAAAGTAAAAAAATATCAAAATTATACCATGCATCTTCTCTGACCAAAATGGAATGAAGTTGATAATCAACAACTCAGGAATCTGTAGAACATATGTAAATACATGCAGACTGAACAACATGCTCCTGAACGAACAGTGGGTCACAGAAGAAATAAAAAGAGAAATCAAAAAATTTCTGGAAACAAACGAAGATGACAATACAACATGCCACACCTTATAGGATTAAGAGGAGAGTTTATAGTAATTGGTGCCTATATCAAGGAATTGAAAAGGCACCAAATAAGTGAGTTATCAATGGATCTCAAGAATCTAGAAAAACAACAGAAAACCAAACCCAAAACTAATAGGAGAAAAGAAATAATTAAACTTAGAGAAGAAATCAACCAAAATGAATCCAAAAAAATACAAAAGATCACAAAATGAAGAGCAGCTTTTTTGAAAAAATAAGCAAAATTGATACACCATTGGCCCAAATAACCAAAAAAGAGAGAAGACCTAAATTAATAAAATTAGAGATGAAAAAGGATTTAACAACAGACACCAAAGAAATAAAAAGAATAATCAGAAATACGAGCTAGAGCTGTATGCCAATAAATTGGAAAACCTAGAAGAAATGGGTAGATTCCTGGGCACATACAAAGTACAAAATTCAGCCATGAAGGCATAGAAAACCTAAATATACGCATAACCAAGATGAAAGTTGAATCAGTAATAAACACCCTCCAAACAAAAGCCCAGGACTGGATGGCTTCACTGCTGAATTCTATCATACATTTAAAGAAGAACTAACTCCAATTCTTCTCAAGTTATTTACAACAATTGAAATTGAGGAAATAACTCCCAAATTCTTTCTATAAAGCCAGCATCACCTTAATTCCTGAACCCAGAAAAGACGCAACAAAGAGATCTACAGACTAATTTCCCTGATGAACATAGATGCAAAAATCTTCAACAAAATTCTAGCCAATTGAATCGAACAACACATCAGAAAGACCATTCACCTGGACCAAGTGGGATTTATCCTTGGTATGCAGGCATGGTTCAACATTTGCAAACCAATCAAGGCAATTTATGAGAGACGCATGGCCAGCATTTGATTGAATGGGGAAAAGTTGGAAGCATTCCCATTGAGATCAAGAGCCAGACAAGGATGCCCACTCTCACCATTCTATTCAATATAGGCTTGGGAGTTTTAACCAAAGCAATTAGGTGTGAAAAAGAAATCAAAGAGATTCAGATTTGGGAAGAAGTTAAATTATCCCTATTTGCAAATGACATGATTCTATATATAGGTAATCCAAAGACTTCAACAAGAGACTATTGGAACTATAGACAAGTTTGTTAAATTTGTCAGATATAAAATCAATACACAAAAATCAACAGCCTTTGTATACACAGAAAATGCCTCAGCTGCAAAAAAAAAAATCAAATACCATGGAATAAACTTAACCACGGATGTCAAAGATCTCTATAATGAGACTTGCAAAACATAAGAAAGAAATAGAAAAAGATACAAAAAAGGAAAAATCTCCCATGTTCATGGATTGGAAGAGTCAATATCATCAAAATGTCCATTCTTCCAAAAGCAATTTACAGATTCAGTGCAATACCAATCAAAATACCAAAGACATTCTTCTCAGATCTAGAAAAAATGATACTGAAATTCATATGGAAATACAGGAGACCTCGAATAACGAAAGCAATTTTATACAACAAAAACAAAGCCAGAGGCATCACAATACTAGATTTCAAGACATACTACAAAGTGGCTTTAATCAAAACAACTTGGTACTGATACAAAAGCAGATGTATAGACTGATGGAATAGAATATACACGTCAGAAATCAATCTAA